TAAGGCTGGTCCCTCTAATGTTATACAAGATTCTTCTCCCTATAACTCACAGCTTCATGTCTTTCCTAAGCACTTGGGTGTTAACTTCAGTGTGTTAGGATCTCTGCAGCAAATATCTACACCTATGCCCCAACTATCTGCTTTGGGCTCAGTGGTATGCAGGGATGTAGCTCAGTAGTGGAATACCTGCTCAGCCTGGCTGAAGCTGTGTGCGCTCCCCAGTACTGTGAAATGCTTCAACTCAAACAGCCCTGGGCAGAGAGCACAAGAGCAAACGGATTCCTTCTTCAGGATACATTTTCCTTCCCAAAGGGGATCTGAACATAGTATCCCCAAGCCAGGCCACCGTCCCTACAAGATTTCTCCCATGGACATGGGCGACTATGATCGGTCCCTCTGGGGCTCGGGTAATGTTCGGATAATGGCTTCCTGTCATCTCAATGGCAGTGACTTTGTCTCTGTCGCTCTGCCCTTGTACCTTACCTCATCTTTGAAGAGGCGTGCTTGGTCCTCGGAGCCCGTCAAGGTCTGAACAAAGCCAAAGACCTTGGGAATCAAAGGAGATATGTTGATCAGGGGACGGGATCTGGGGAAGGGTGAGTCTACACACATGGTCTCGGTACTACATGGACCGTGCCGGGAGTTTCTCTCTTATCAGCCTTAGGAAATCCTCACGTCTTTGTATGGTGGTACCCGAGGGACGGTCCTCTGTTCCTTAAAGCACGCCTGTTCTGCTAGATTCCCAGCTTGACTTAGAGGACACGCCCTCTCTATCCACCATGAGAGGCCCACTTTGGTCAGCCTTGCTGTGCAGCTACAGGGGCGGTGGAGAGGAGGGATGAACACAGGGTCGGAGGCCGTTAGGAGTGGTATGAGGCTCCCTCTGAGGTGGCCCTGGCCTGAGCCCCCTGCGAGGGTGTGGTTTAGAGGAAGACTGAGGGCAGGAAGAAGAAGGGGAGGAGGCTAGGGAAGAGCTCCGTACCTCTTCAATGGTCCACTTGGAGACCGTGGAGGCCGAGATGCCCGCCACTCCTGGCAAGAGCTTGCAATGCTGCTCCCAGCACACGGAGAATGAGCGGTCGGGGTGGGTGGACAAGGTGGACATGAAGAGGGACTGGTGCACCACACTGGGGGGAAGGGCTAGAAAGCAGAAGCAGAACATGGTGGGCTCACGTCTGGGACACAGGGGACACTGGCTGTTCCAACAGACAGGACGAGGGCCCCCTCTGAAAGCCTGCAGGTCACACGGGTGACCTGGCGTGCTGCTGGTCTAACGGGTTGCTTGCTCACAGACTCCAGCCTTGTCTGGAGTGACCCCCAGCACTCTGGTGCTCTCTTGGAGCGGCCGGCATCATACAGCTCCTAAAGTTCAATCAAACAAGTTCAGCCCTGACATTAGTGATGAGTTCTGTGTCCTGCGTGAGGTTCTTTTGGACTCTGACCAACTCTCTTCGACTAGGGTGTTTCTGGGCCCAGAAAACGAGTTCTTATCAGATCTCCAGTCATGGGCTGCCTATCGCTTGCTTTCTGATCTGCTCAGGAATTCCTGGTTCCATGGGTCAGGTGACTGACGCCACTCTGCCTGGCTTCCTCTTTAGCAGGCCTGGCACTCATCCCTTGGACTTTACTCAATTCAACTGCTGACAACCTGGCCCCATCTTCTGCCGTGGGCCCCAGGCAGCATGGCCACTCTCCTGGGGCCTACTCTGCCTCAGTCCACAGTTCAGGCTAATCACTCTTTTTCGGCACTTTCTGATCATTCTGGATGCAGAATGCAGCACTTCCGGTGCCATCTTCCCTGCGGCAGCCCCGGCTTGCTGCTGCGGACCATCCTGCCCCATCTCTCTCCCTGAGCCTCAGCTTCGTGGCTTCTCCAGCTCCTCGTATCTCCACCCCGGGGCCTCTGGGAGTCTACCACAGCCCCACCGTCACTCCACTGCTCCAGCCTCTGCATCTCACTTCATGCCTGTGCATGGTTCACCTAAGCCTCACCAAGGGGCCGCTCCTTTCAACTGCTGACCAGCTCCAGCTGTGACCCAGTGGCTGTGCCTCCCCTGCCTGGCCACGCTTTAGGTTCTCATGCTTGCGAACCCATTTTTGATACCCCGGTCCTATCTTACTCCTCAGAGCAGAGCCAGACTCTTGTGCACAGTCACAACATTGTACTTAACCATCTGTCCACACAGCTAGACGGTTCTTCCAAAGAGGTGACCCTTGTGGGGTCTGGGCAGTGAGCAAAGCCAAGGGCCAGGTGGTGTCCCCTGATGGAACGGTCACATGCACATCTAGACCTACACTGAGATCTGCCACAGATGTTTGAGGAGTCTCCTCTGGAGGGTCAGCCGGGGCCAGTGTCCCTTCTTGGGTAAAGTCTTGCTGGTACAGCAGAGAGCCCTCTATGGAGATGAGAGACCTGGGCTGTCCCTGAGGTGCCTCAGGGGCCTGGATGAGGCCTGAGCCCTT